TTTTGAAAATTCCGAATTTTGTTATACACTTGAGAAATTGAGACTAAGTAAATTTCGTGTAACAACTTTTTTTCATAGAATATTTTCTACAACATGCATTTGATTTATTTGACTTATTTATTTCCTTTTTTTTATTAATAAATAAAAGTTCTTTACAACAAAAAAGTCAAAATAGCGTGACACAAAAATTATTGTTGCACTTCTGAGCATAACTTTCAAACTTAAAAAATCTATGAAAAAGAAATTTTTTTTTTAGATTAATAGACTCCCTTTTTAAAGTTGAATTGAATGGGGGCGAGTTTTTAAAAATCCAATGTGTGGATCACATAATATTTCAAAAATTTTAACTTTTGAGTATAGACAATCCACACTGTATAACTTTTTTAGGTTATATAGCTGCTATGATTAAAAGAATTAAAAAGAAAAATAAATCAATATTGTAATGATGAAATCATTTTTCTTTAAGGGTTTCTGCTTTTTGTTGGATAATGGCACATCTTCATTCTGCTTTTTCTTTCTTGGTAAATTTCATAAGTAATACTTTCTTTTCTTAGATAAGCTTCAAATGTCTGAGTATCATTTATTTTGAAAGTATAAGGAGCAGTTTTTTCACCTTGTGCTATAATTCTTGGGTTCCATAGTAGATCTGATGTAAATGAGTTTCATATTAACTATTTTTGTTTAGACAAATATTATGATCACATTACATTAGTAATACAGTTGTGTTGTTAAATAAACACTATTGACTCCTGAAATTTTTGGTAATAACAATGTTCACTTTGTCTGGTTTTGTTGCAGTTTGCCCCATATGGCAAGTGCTGTATGCCATATTATCACCAAGTAAAGTTACAGTCAAACCTTGTCACAGTGGATGAATGGGACACATAAGAAAATTTATTTTAAAACCTGTTGTGGTGAGATTAGTAAACTTTCCACAACGGATTTTAATGTTTTTATATGCAAAACAAATTTTATGCACAAAAATATAATTAACATAAAAATGGCACCCTGTGATATTTCCTTTTTTAGTAATTTTATGGTTTGTCATGCACAATTTATTGTATTGATCGTCACAATTTCATAGGAAATTGATATTTGTCATGGGTGCCATCTTTCCAGACTTTATGGTATAGTGTTTGACTGTACCTATATTATTTTTTGATTACCTGATTCGGGTTAGCACCACTTAAGATAAACAGTTACAGCATACAGAAAATCTTTCCAAGAATTACAACATAGTTATGACATAGTAATAGCTGTGTCATAACTGAGTTATAGTTTGACAATATGTCTGCAACTTCATTAGTAATAGTAAATCTTGCCACAATGGATTTTAAAATAAAATTTCTTATGTGTCTCATTCATCCACTGTGACTGTAACCTTACTTGGTGGTCATATGGCATACAGCACTTGCCATATGTCATATGTCATATGCCATATTTACATCAGGAAATTTTTCTGATGCAGATTTACGTTATTACACTATTTACATAAGTTTACGGCGGGCCCGTAATATTATGCAAATAAGCATACAAAAATTATGCAATTATTACATTGAGTGTAAATATTACATAATTTTTATGCAAATATTACAACTTTACATATTAAAATTTACAGATGTAATATTGCGGCAGGGAAAATTTCCTGATGTATATGTTTGCACCCTTAGATTTATGTGTGAATTTTGTTTACCAAATAAAGTTGTTTTGTAAGACCCCATACTTATAGATATTAATTTCCAATATTTTAACTTTTTGATGTTTGAATACCAACTAGATTGGGACTAAAATTTTATCATGCATGATTAGAGACATTTTTTCAAAATATTGAGTTCTGTTTCTACTTTGTCAAAAATATTTTTGTAAAATGTACATATTAAAAATATACCATATAAAACTTGCATCATTCAATAGCTTAGGTTCTGATGAATGAATAAATAAATAACCATATATAATTTCACATTTCTAATATGTCTAGAACTCTATTAAATATAAAAAAAGAACTACTTTAAATTTTGATTTTTCTTATTTGTCTTAAGACTTGAAATTTTTTTGCTTGTTGGCCATCTTTACCTGAGACACAGGCCTAAATTCTTTGAGGATGTTTTCAATCAAATATCCAATGAATTTATATCCCACTCTTCCTCAATCTGGCTTCAAGTTCTTTTGCTTGTTGAGATGATTATACCAGTGTTGGGAAAGTTGCTGGAACAGGAACACTGAAACAAATTTTCCAGTTCCAGTTCCAGTGTTCCAGTGACTTTTTTCTGGAACACCAATGGAACACTGTAACCACAGTAAAAACTGGATCACTGGAAACAGCAATGGATCACTGGTAGTGGTTGTATCTGTTGATTATCCAAGCGTTTGAGTACTTGGTCAATCAATAAAGCTCAACACCTGGATAATCAGCCAGCCAATAAAACTCAACACCCAGATAATGAGTCATTTACCAAATACCCACCAAATACCCGCTGAATATCCACTGAATATCTGTTGAATATGTATATTTTTTCAAATAACAACAGATTCAATTTTATTTGTTCAGCTGTCATTGTGTTTCCAGCTTCATTAAATACAGTCAAACCTTGTCACAGCAAATGAATGAAGATTTATTTAAAACCCATTGTGGCAAGATCAGTAAATCTTGCCACAATGGGTTTTTATATGTTAATGTGAATGTGAAGCAAAAATTTAAAATCTGCTATGACAAGAACTTAATTATAGTCCTCTGTGACAAGGTCGCTCATTTGGAGTAGAAGTTACTGCAATGCATAAATATTCTTTAAATAATAATGACACAGTTGGTATTCATATTACTTGATATTATATTATAATAGAAAGAATGTTGGTGATAGTGTAATAGTGGATAAAATAGTATTATCATGTTAATGTATTCTTTCAATTATGTGGATAAGAATTTTTATTTTTTATGTTTCTGAACCACTGATTATTCACCAATTATCTGATGAAAATTTCCAACACCCAATTAATTAATCAATGAAAAATTTTCAATACCTGATTAACAGACAATCAGTAAATAATCAGTGAATATCATTTGGCAGATACAACCACTAATCACTGGAACTAATGGAACCAATAGATTTTATAATGAAAAGCTAAATTAATTCTAACCTTATTTATTTTGTAAATTTTTAATTATATGAACTCATTTGGGATTTTGATTGTCTGGCTGCACTGCAGTTTACATCACAATTTTCTCCCTATTCACATTTTATAGCTTTAAACTGGGCTTACTCAGCTGCCCTTCCAATAGTAACCTCTTTTCTGAATTTGCATTAGTGCGAACCTGCTGTTATTCTACTGCCTCTTCAGCTCTGGTCCAAGTTTAAATAATTTCCATTTGGCCTCTTATTAGCAGCTGGATGCACCCTATGTTTTAACAGAATTTTTAATTCTTTTGGATCATCCAAATCACTTTCATCACTAGTATCATTAAAAGTCTCATCATATAGTGCTTCAAACCAATAATTCCATTGTTTGATGATGAACTGATGGAAGAACTTGATTCATTATATATATATCATTTATTTGATTTATATGTGAAATATCAATGAATTAGAACTTTCAGATGGAGGAGATGTAATAGATGAATTATCATAATTATTGTTCAATTCTGTTGTAAGATCATAAACAAATATTATTAATTATTGCAATTAATCCAATAATAATATAAAATACATATAATTAATTGGGACCCAGACACTTTACCAACACCCACTTTACTGACAAGACACTTTATTAACAACACATGATGTGATAATTAGCATTTTATTGGTTGTGGAGATTAAATGTAACCCCACGTGTTGTCAGTAAAGTGTCTTGTCAGTAAAATGGGTGTTGGTAAAGTGACCCAGATCCCATACAATCAACATCAACATCAACATCAATTTCTATACTATTATTTAATCTTGATTCAATTCTTTTTTGTCTCACTTCTAAATGTGAATTTACTGATTCCACTTTATCTGGATTAATAGTTTGCAAAGTTTTCACAATTAAGTGTTTACCAATAGATGGAACAGTATTAGAAAATTTTAATCGTGTAACATTATTTAAGACCACTTCCACTCTTTTATTTGTATGCAGGCTTTACAGATAGCTAAACAATTATTTTTTATCACTATCTCTCTTTTGTTACAACATATTTGCAAAAGTTTTCCACCTGTGGAACTTGTAAGCAAAGTCACAAGGTGAACATCTACAAGATGGTCATATGATCTCATCACACAGGAGTCATGTACAAAAAAAAGATAATTATTATGAAAAATTGACATCATTCATAAAGTCTGACCCAAAATAAAAAGAACTATATTAATATAGTGGCAGTGATATTACCATATTTATTTCATTATTACATGTAAATATAGGTATTAAAAATAAAATTTACACAGATTCTTCATTGGTTCCAGTGGTTCCAGTGTGGTTTAAGGTTTCTGGCCAAAACTGCTTCTATTAGTAGCCGAAATTGCCTAAATACTTTGGGCAAAAATTATTTTTTTATAAGCCCCAAACTACTTTTTGTTATTAGCCGAAATTGGGTGAAATTATTTTAAAGTTGTCTAAGTTAAAACAAGTTGATTCATATAGTTTTTTAATGTTCATTCTTATAAAAAATGTTGAGAAGCCCAAATTGCCTAAACTAGTTTGGACAGAAACCTTAGTGTGGTTCCAGCAGTTCCAGTGATTCCAGTGTTCCAGTGATGTTTCCAAACTGTTCCAGTGTTCCAGTATTCCAATTCCAGTGATTTTCCCACTGGAACCAGAAATTCCCAACACTGGTTTATTCCCCTTTCCACACCTCATTAAAAATAAAGTTTCTCAAGGATATGAGAAATATTTCTGATTTTATAAAAGATGGACAAAATCATGCATCTATAAAGATTGAATTAAAACATGATGATGATAATGTGATAATAATTTGTTTGATTACAAGAGCTGATAATAGAACTCAATGGACATTAAATGGTAAATTTTTCCATCCAACCCAATATATGTGTTGTTGTTGATTTGATACTTTATCAATATTATAATTATTATATAAATATCTATTTAGGTGAAAAAACTACACTTGAAAATATTCAGAGTATAGTTGAATCATTTAATGTACAAGTTGACAATTTTTGGTGAGAAAATTCTCAGAATATAGAATATTTTTTAATAATATTAGCAAGTTTGCACATGTAAATAACAATAGCAATAGTGGATAATAATTATAATAATTATAATAATTATAATATTGTCATCATTATAACAATTGCAGAAAAGTGATCTAAGCATTAATTTAATATATTTAAATTTTAGATGTCTCCACCAGAATTATTAATTCTAGCTCAAGAGGCGACTGGAGAAAAAGAATTATTAGGATGTCATAGGTCATTGATTAAACTTAGTGAACTAAAGAATTTGTTATCAGTAATTCTGATCTTTTTTCCATATTCATTCTTTCATTTTCTCAATCTAATGTTAGGAATCAAATACAGATAAATATGAACTCAATAATTTGGAAAAAAGAAATGCAATCTTAGAAAGAGATGTTGCACATTTCAAAGAGAAGCAATTCTAAGAAAGGTCATTGTTACTAACACATTCATATATAATCATATATACATGTGTGTATATATACCCTTTCGTATTTGAACCTGAATGAATAGATTCAATTACAACAAGCTAAAATTTCAATGGCACAATATTCACTTTCAAAAACTACATTTGAGGAAATGGGGAGAGAAAAAAGGGCAGTTGAAGAAAAATATAATCAACTTCTTGAAGAAAACCAACTTGCTATTGACAGTAAAAAGTTAATATTTGATTAATATCTAAATAACAATTATTTGCTATTTTTACTAATAATTTTTTCTTATCAGTGAATGTGAAGAAATTATCATTGATGCAATTGAAAAAAAAAAGAATATTCCAGTTGGTATAATACAAAAAAATGTAAACTTCAATGATTATCTAATAAATTTAAAAGATTGGTATGTCACCTTTGTTAATCATTATATTGATTATTATATTTTGATATATGTAATTTGCATATACATATATTGTGTAATGGTAATAGCCATTATTGAAAAAAACTAATGATATATATAATTTATAATAAAGTTGATCAGAGTTTAATTCAAATAATGAAAGATATTGGTAAGTTGGGTAGACAAATACAAGATAAGGATGATATTTTGAGACAAGCATCTGATAGACTTAGTGAAGGTTGGTTTTAAAGTGAATTTTAAATTATAATCATAGATATTAATTACATTAAAAAAATAAAGTTAATAAAAGATTTAACAAGATTGAAGAAGAGATGACATACTATTGCCAAGAATCAGATAAGTTAACGAATGAGCTTGATGTTCTAGCAAGAAAGGAACTTCAAGTAGTAATTAAATATAAAAAAAAAAATGAATAAAATGAAATAATTTATTTTAAGTTAACACAAAATATGACATTAGAAGAAATAGAAAATGCTATAACTTATGAAAGAGAAAATATAAATCATTATAATATTGTTGATCCTATGTTATAAACACATATAATGAAAGACAAGCAAAAGTATTAATCAATAATTCATATGTTTGTTTATAGTTATGGATATACATGAAGTTGAAACTATTTCAACCAGATCTGAAAATGGTCAAAATAATTTCGACTTCATGTATAGTTATGGAATCTGAATTTTTAATTTATATTTAATTTTTTTTTAGATTGATTTCCTTAGATCTGAAATAGAAACAAGAGAACCATTATTATAAGAATTAAATGATAAAATTGCAAAGGAAAAGGTATCATTTGCCATACATTGCACATTTATATATGCACACATACATAAGGTATAAATCTAAAAAATTATATTTCTTGAACAATGGGAACCTAAATTATATCAATTGGTTAAAAAAATTGGCAAAATCTTTTCAAATGCATTTAATAGTAACTGTTATCATCATTATTACATTATAAATATTTTTCACTGTTACATACAAAGTTTTAAGATTTTTTAATTATTGTTTAGAAATTGGATGTGCTGGTGTGCATATTAGTACTCATGAAGATTATGGTAAATGGGGTATAAATTTCCTGGTAAACTTTAGGTATGTGAATTTACATTTGCACATGTGTATGTTTTTTAAAAAAAAAAACTATTATGAAATTGGTTAATAAAAAAAGTTTTTAAATAAAAAGTGATAATGAAGAATTACAATTATTGACTGGTCAAAGGCAATCAGGAGATGTGAGTATATTATTTGATCAAGTTGTAAGATTACAAGATAATTTTTATTAATTATTTATACATAATATTATTTTACAGGAAAGATCTGTATTAGCTATCATGTATTTAATGGCATTACAAGAATTGGCCAAAACACCATTTTGTGTTGTTGAGATTAACCAAGGATTGGACCCTATAAATGAATACTTAGTTCATAATCAAATGATTGAAACTGCATGTCAATCACAATATGTGCTATTATTATTATTTACTGTCTACTATTATTATTAAAAAATAATCATCATTGTCTTTTATTCGTATTTGTTTTTAATAACTTCTGAATTGTTGTCAGATTGTGATCTTAAATATAATGCATTTACAATGCTTTGTTTCATTATAATGAAGAATGGCAATCTGAAAGAATGAACTGACAAATGATTTGCACAATTTAAATCAATTCTTAATTCTGTAATGTAATAATAAATTTTATGATAATTAATCTGTATAACTAATCACATATATTAGCATTAAGATATAAACATAGTAATTGTTTCTTCAGATAACGAATTTACAAATGAGAATGTAATGTAGATCACATGTTCTTGATCTGAAAATCATCCCCCTTTTTTAAATTTACCACTATTACTATATACAGAGGGTGATCACAGGTTTCCGAACGATAAGTATTTTTTATTTTTTTTGCTTTGTTTACATCATTTACGCGTATATTTCTAATTTAAGCATTTATTTAGCATGTAGATCATAACAAT